AGTTGGTGGGAGAAAGCATCGTTAAGAGACCTGGCTCGATCCGTCTGGGCAGACAGCTGCAGGGTTCTTCCGCTGATCCAGTCACTGCGTTGCCACTGAGTGAATCCTAGCATTCGCTTAGCTGCCCCATAAGCAGTTTTCGTCAAGAATGACCACTTGCTACTGCCTTTGCCGTCAGCTTGGGTGGGAAGACGGGGCCAGATTTCTGTGCTTAGGGCCTCGGTAGTACTGGATTGCCCGAGTTTTGCGACATAAAGTCGTCTCACACGTCGCATTTTGGGCGCAGATGAGAGGTGAACCTTCAAGTGTGTGCGAAAGAGAAAATGGTCAGACCCGTAAGCGTTACCAGGTTCGGCAACTCGCATCAACCTGCTATCGGGGACCCAATTGCAAAACTGTGAACCATCTGTGCGGCCTCATTGGGACTCGAAAGTATACTTGGAAGAGGAAGGTCCCAGTGGAAACTCTACTCTAACCACTTGAGCTAAGAGGCCCCACCTGGAGCCATGAGTTTCCTCAGACTGCCGGCTCTTGGGATCGAAAGCTCCCGTGCTGGTCCAGGGCAGCTATCACGCGGCTCGTTTCGGGGACACAAATACATTTCTGCAGAAGTTAAGCAAATGACAAGGGAACCAACCAAAAACTGCTTTAGTTTCCAGGCCAGTTTACACAAGAGCTAGTTGCTTGACGGCCGATATGCGGGTCGTGACCTGGTGAAATATCATCACCTGTAGTGGACTTATTGTGATGATTGCTCGACCATCTGGATTCCTGGTGTTAGAAGGCGAGTTCGCCTGTGCGCTCCCAGAGTAGCGAGTTGCTTTGGCCAAACTGAGCCTCAGCACCGAGTATGGATTGGGCAGGTCATTTTACTTGTTTATAGGCTGGGGACCCGTGAAAAATGATTCAAGTAACTCCTGACGCACACGAGTGTCACCTTTTGCGAGAATTTTAGCCTCGTCAAATTCGGATGTGTAGTCCGATCTTGGGAATTGACTTCATTTCTTCGCACTACTACCACGTGTTAGGCAAGGCGCGAATTGTCGTGGGCAGCTATCCTCGATAGGGGCCAGTCGTTAATTTTTATAGGTATGCGGTGGCATAGCGACCGTATCCTACAGATACTGTGTATGAATTACCCTTTTCTTTTATTGTCTCTGATAGATCCGCGACGGATTCCGAGACGTCAAGCAAATAAAGTTAATGTTCCAGCTATCATATCTACTTCTTCTCAGATCATCGAGCTTAAGCAACCCGGGTTTGTTTGACGAATCATAAAATCTGCACAACGATTGAATAATGAAAAGCCGATTAGAGATAACTTTTCGTTATCGAATGCTAAATCCGAGGATGTTTGTCCAAAAACAGCGAGATCAGGCAGTTGCGAGACCGGCCTTACCAACTCTGGACCCGACAAAAAACGCAATCCTTTCCAGTTTATATACAATACCAAGCTATATACTACTCAGTGCATTCTGTCAGGAAGTCAGTTTTATGGTCTTTCCGCAAGTCTCGTGGTCACTCTTCAAACAATGCGATCGAACCCCCACAGGCGAGATAAACAACAAGAATAGACGTATATTGCCGTATGCTAACGGCGTAGCACTGGAATTAAGCACCGCAAGTAGGAGACTTACAAGGTCAGACTACAGTTGGACCAATTAGATAGTGTCAGTGAGTGAGTAACATCTCGACTGGCCCTCTGACTCATCTGCCTGGTTGGTTAGAACTCTGATGCTGTCGGCAGCATTGGCGGTCATCTTCCTGAACCAGAATTTGAACAATGACGTTCGAAAAGTCGACATGCTCCCTGGATACAAACCTCATGTTCCCCTAGCATCTGCTTACAGTCAGCAACCTCAAAAACCGTCACACACTGAGGAAACATCAATATGTAAAAGATGAAATGAGCTGTACAATCTTTTATATCTTGATAATAGGCTCGCATGAAAGTTCGAAAAGTTGGACAAATAAACAACTGGTCCCAGAAAACGCTGTTCAGTCTTCTATTCAATTACCTGAGCCTCGCATTGTTTGGACCATTCAGAAAATAAAATTTACAAACAAACCTAGAGACCAGCAAAATCAACGTGAAGTGTTCGTAGTCAAAGGGGTCTTCAGTCAGACGAAATTTGAAATGATGTCAAATACATTTGTTAAATATTGATAAAAACCGACCACCGACTACTTCTGTCTTCATCCTCGTCTGTTAGACAGAACTGCCTCAATGATCGCGGTCTGAATTCTGCGCTACAAATCAAGCATCCAGTAAGCCAAATGGTCAACACCAGCATTAAGTATTCAATCCGGGGCAGACCAGTGTTTACCGCCTAGGCTAACATCGGACTATTTTTATCTTCTTTCTTGTCTGCACGAGAGAAGACTCAGTGCAGAAATAGCTTCGTCCAGCCACAACAAAATCTGCTGGCAGTTATTGTCCCAAATTGGTGATTGTTGCGGCATTTTAAGTGCCCACCGCAAGTGTAACTGTCAGCACGGACCTCAGGGCAAATAGTGACGGCCTGAAGCGCACTCAGAATTTGGCGCAGCGCGTGACTTAAAAAAGGCATCCAGCAGGTTTAGACACTTTTACAGCTTTCTTTGTCTCGAAATTATCTGCCCTTTCGTGCCTGTGACTGAAAACAAGATGGATGGATGTTTGTCCGAGTGGCTGAAAGTGGCACGATTTGAGCAGGACCCCTTCCGCTACAACCCCTGCAAGATTCAGGCTCCAGCAGTGTTGCAAAAATAAGTGTTTGGGCCGTGAGCAGACAGATCCTAAGATATCTCATTTGTGCCATCTGCAAAACAAAGGGAATTTTTCTGAGAATTTCTTGCTATAAAAAGATTGAACACTTTGTTTGTATTTCACTATAGAGGCCGCTAGTCGTTCCTGCTAATATCATCTAATTGTCAGGTTGGTTCTTAGGGCGGAAGTTGAAGAGCTTATATTTAAACGGAAAAGCTATTCAGGGTTATCACATGCGTTCTACTACTTGAGCGAGCTGAGGATTGAAGATGTGATGAAAGCGTGTGGTATCGCATGAAATCTTAACCAAAATTCTAAAATATATTTTGATAAGTAAAGATTTATTACGTAGATTTGTAGTACTAATTATCCTGCAGTATAATCTATAGAAGTTACAGTCACACAAGGATGTCGACTTGCGAGTGAATTTGCTTCCGGTCATGTGCAAAGACCACCCGCTGTAAAAAGACTGCTTAAGAAGCATGAACTGTGTCCACTTATCTTCCAAGGTCTTATAAATTCGAACATACTTTACAGAGAACATGTACTAAAGTACTATTTATTGTACTCATTTGGTAAAAAGGTAAATCTTCTTTAAAATGCATGCTTTAAGAAAGGTTCATTTTGAATTTTAAAAAAGTTTCTAATTGTGAGACTTTTTAAGACCTTGAAATGACCATCCCTGAAACTTCATATCTCTAAATATTTTTTCATGCTAGTTAAATAAACAACATGTTTCACATCCATTGTATTATTTTACGATTGAAATATGAAATCCTCCTTATAGCATATCAGAATAAAGATTTTTCTTACCCAGAACATATACACCGTGTATTTTGGAAAACCTGAAAAGGAGTTGTACAGCAGGTCGGGTTTAACATAATGCAGGGATTGAAAACGTTTTTGAACCCGAAATAAGCCCTTTCTTTTAAGTATACAATACGAAGAAGACGGAATCTGCTGTGAATTGAGTACGAGAAAAAATATATTCGAGCTTATTTTCTACAAGATAGTTTTTCACTAGAAATCAGGGGAAAATAGCACATCAAATTAGAGTTCCTTTATTACAGACTGTAACCTTTGCGAATGGTTGGAAAGAAGCTAGTTCGAGAGGCGATATATTTTTGTTCCAAGATAAATAATACCATCACCATACTTAACTCTGTCCGTACTTTGTCCGACCGAAAACATATTTCCAAATTTCGATTGAAATATCATGAAATAGGTAATCTGCTGTATATGTATATATATATATCAATATGCAAAAGATCAATGGAGATGCGGAATATCCTGTCTGGTTTATTACTCATCTTCATCCATCCATACTTAACCACGGGCTCTTTGAAATCAGTCTTGAAAGGCAAGACTAACGCTTTACGGATTGAACTAGGGAGAAGTTTTCCCATGGGTTGTGATAAAGAATATTACCCGATGGGGTGACGGGGAGCGCTTGTCTCGTTGGGCTATGGGGCTCCCTCAAATGTCCACACTGGCAGTCCCACAGCGACCAGAAGTCACTGCGGAAGGGACGTACGGACTAAAACAGTGGACACGGGGCTGAAATTTGTGGCTTTCTTTCATTATCTGGTCATATCAAATAAACCAGCGTTAAACATGAAAACGCACAATTACAGAAGAATTTGGTCAAGAATCCTATGTCACTGAGACCCGGGGTTGGATATGGCTGACTGACTACGACTACTAAGCCAGCGATTGCCATCTCAGTAACCCTTATGTATGCTGTATACTCCATCCTGTGAACGAATATAATTACAGAAGACAAAGCTCTACAGTTGGTCATATAAATCAGACTGACTTCTACTCACAAAGAACATGTCTCCCAAAACATTTAGACAAATTTGCCATCAGCACCGTGATTAATGGACTTGTCTACAAATATTAATGGATACACATAATAGTTCTCCGTATATGTCTGGTCAGAGTTGGAGTCGGGAGTTTGGTTATTATTTGCTTCCATCGTCTTCCAAAAGCGTATTAGTACAAGTGGTAAAGAAACAGATGATGTTATTTCCTGTAATATATATGAGGGGGTTTTTCACTCACTTTGTCGTTCCAGCCGTTAGCCTTCGTCAAAGGTCTGAACGTTTCTTTCATTTCCGAGACAGGCAATATATACATTTGACTTTCTGTTGTAAGTTTTTTATGGAAATCGAGCAAAGAGGACATTGTATGAAATGTGAACTTCTTAAATTATGGTCTAGTACGAGGCGCTTAATTGATTTTTCAACTTTTCGATACCTTTCAGAACAATGATTCGGAACTATCACTATATCGATATCGATCGAACATCAGTCATTGGATACGCGGTAAGTAGCAATATTTATGATTTTAATCCCATTTTTTTTGCCGGTACTGAGGGCTCGAGCAGAATTTCTTTAGCAATTAATCTAGAAGCTACCGGGTGACTACGAAGCACACTTGATTATTTGGAGGGGTTTGGCAGATTTGAATAATTCCATTGACACAATTGTGCTAAGTTCGGCGACCTTGGTGAGATTCGAACACAAGTCTACGTAGCACAGAGTGAACTCGCTTTTGACTTCCGCAGTTGGCTGAATGAATGCAAGAAGAAATTACTTTTTGAAGAGTGACGTTAAGCTCAATAATTTTTGGACGTTGTTGTATTGGTTAGTCAACATTTACGTCAAAATTTAGCAGAGGTATTCAGTTTCCGTTTGTTTTTCGCAAGAAATTTCTTAAAGCAAAACTCTTAAGCAGTCCAGTCATATGAAACCACCTGAAAAGTCATTTACTTTCAGAGATCGTAGAAAAAAACTCTAGCGAACGTGAATAGTATGCACTGAGCTCAGTATTTTCGCTAGCCGGGGGTTAAAATAATCACCTAGCTCAACATGGACATAGCCCAGCATTTCGTCATCAAGGAAATTACAGTGGTCTCGTTCGTTTGTATAATCATCCCCTGATCTCATCGACCACGTTAACAAATGCGGTCAGACCGTCACATTTAAACTTAAGTGTTATTATTCTACCTTGACTTGTGCTTCTTCAATCATTTACATGGTCACTCTCTACTGAATAGATTATTGCCATTCAACTGCTATTGTCTAAAATTCAGGGCCTCTCCTATAGTACAAAAGACGCGCTAATTAAAGGATAAACTGCATGAATGTTTACTTGATATGCGTTCTTCATAAGCACCGAAAGGCCGATAGCTAGCTTAGTGTGCAGCTGCAAAAGTTCAATCCGATAACGTCGTGAGTCACACACTTCAAATAACTGCTGCTAAGAAAATGAAGGGTTGTTTTCCAGATACTGCCTGTTTCCTAAGAAATAAAAGTAATTGTTTTTCCTAAAACTGCCTATAAAACTGCTTGTTAAAAGTTAAAAGTAATTCACAGTTCGCTTTATATTTTATATCAATTTGCGAACTAAAATATGACTTAATTTGTCTGCGGGGTGTGTATTTAGGACCTGCTGACAGTGCTGTTTAAGAGCAGACTTATTACTACATTTAGCCCCCAAAAGCTCTCGAAACGTTTTCCTATGACTTTTCAGCAAAACCTGAATGAATCTAATTACTCAGTAGGACTGAATGTTATTTTTTTCGGGCATTTCGGACGGCACTATAGGGGGAGGACTCCCATCTCGCAGCAATGCTGATGTCCTCTCAGGAGCAGCCTTACATTCCACGATGTGGAGTTCTTATCGCACCGATCATCGATTTTCAAGCTCTAGGTAGGTCTTTGCGGAAAAGAGTTTTACCTTTATGCCGGATCCACTTTTTATATTATTCAGAACGAAAAATACTTAGGTAAAATAAATAAAATAGCTGTTTTCAAAGAGGCAATTTATAGTTGGAAGACCTGGTGAAAGATAAATCACAATCCAGTAGTCTTCACTCATCTAGAACTATAGAGCTGTGATTCCTGAATTATGCTTCCATAATGACATCACAGGTATTAGTTGACGAGGCAGACACTCATGTTTTGTTGATTTTGTGCTCCTGCACGGGACAGCAATGAGGGAGTTGGTTTATTATTGATCCCCCAGCGTTGTTCATGTGTCACCTCAATTCTCATTGGTTTTCGCACGAATCTGCCTTTATCAATAAAACCAAGGATCTGACGTTTAGGAAATAAAATATTAGAGGCGGCGGTTTGATTGTTGACTACCTTATTGTCCTTATTCGACGCTTCTGGTCCATTCTGAAAAATAGTACTCATTTCAAAAGAGGCATAGTTAATAGAAAAATGAGTTAAATAGAAGGATACATTTAAAAACGTTTTCGGTCAACTATTTTTACCTTGTATAAATTTTTCGAAAATCAGTAGAAGAGATTGCTGTTACCCTTTTGGTCGTATTTTTGCAATTGAGGTTGGTCGGAAATATGTCCAGTCAAAAGGCAACATTCAGCTGTGAATAAAAGATATTTGAATAAACTCTCAGATGCTAAATATTACAACTCCGCGTTCTTGTTGAACGTCTGTTTCGATGAGGTTCATTGCGTTTGCCTCAGTAAGATGATGTCATGAGGATAATTTCTGCTGGATTATAGTGGGAGTAGACTTATTTGCATCTACTTCACTATCTATTCCAGTCTCCCACACGGGTCCACTGTCAAAACAGAGTTAAGAAGACCGGTGATGGGAACAGCGTGAAGAACATCATATTTCCCTTATGACCCACATAATTGTATTGATGGTTCCCGGTAGTTTACACCGAAATGGTCTGGCAATAAATTTCTAGTTGACTCATTCCTGCAGACCCTATTAGGGAATTTTAGCATTCCGATTTAGTATCACCAGAGAAACATAAGGAAAACTGAGCGAATAAACTTCGATCGTAAAACTGTAATTTAGTTGCTGCATAAGCATATGCTGAGAAAATAAAACTTGCTTTTTTCTAACTGTAATATCAAGCGACATTCAGCTGGCGCATGCCCACTGTCAACGCCTATCTTGCGCATCCACGTTTAGGAGATTCTCCTGTTTTAACACAATGACGGATTAACTTCTGACTGC